CCAATGAGAGACTTTGGTAAACAACATCTGTGACTTTATGGTTTTCTGTTAGCTTTGAAACAAGCTCCCCTAAACCCCAGCCAATGATTTCAAAGGCTGCCCACCCTTACCTAATCCTTGTCCAATCCAGAAACGCCAAGGCATGTACCACTCTGCTTGCAGTTTTTTTTTTTTCTTTAAAAAAACCCAAGAAACTCGGGGCCGTTCTTCCCCATCCACTACATTGGAGGCTAGATAATGGTCCAAGCTCAAGCTTGTAATCAACAAACCCCTGTGTTTGCACTGGACACCAGCTCTGTGGTGGTCTCGTTTGGGGGTCTTGCAATGCGGGTACAACCAGGCGTTCTATCACATGGCATTACCTCTCCTTCATCTTGCACCTCCTGTTTCTTCTCTGTGTCTCCTGACATCCCTTGTGCACCTTAGTTCATCTCCTAGTTACTCTCTCTGCCTGGAAGTCCCGCCTATATTTCCTGTCTAGCTATTGACTACTCAGCACTTATTAAACCAATCACAGCAATATATCTTCATTCGCTGTACAAATATCCCACAACACTCATGTTCTTGGGGTGTACCCAAGGCCATGCAAATGGTAGGTCATCATTCTGCTCCTGGCCTACACCCCCAACTCCTACTCATTTTTGAGTCTCAGTTTAAATTATTCTTTCATGCTTCCATTACTTTTGAATTACTCCAAAGATAGTAAGGATCTTATTGTGCCTTCATCTAAACTATAAGAAACTTTAAGAATTCTTTACTTTTCTTCTTCACTTTGGAAATTCCAGGGCATTTGACACTTTCTGTTTCCCAGTGGGTATTCAATGAAATGCTTGCAGAATGAATAAAAACATGATTAAATAGCTTTAAAATTCATGCACACAACTCACTAGAGGTTTGTGAAATTTTTTCTTACTTTACTGAGACAGGGTTTCATTAAGTAGCCTTGGCCAGCCTGGAACTTGCTAAGGTTGACATCTAACTCAGAGATCTACTTGTCTCTGACTGCTGGGGTTAAAGGCATGCTCTACCACACATGGCTTACTTTATTATTTTAAGGCTAAAAGTTAGCAGAAGCAAAACTTTTCATATTGATAACAAAACTTTCCATTATGTTCTTATTCTCTAGGACAAAATACCTGGGGTATTATAGTTATTCAATATATTTGTTGAAATGATGAAGAACCATAAAAACGTGTGAAGGTGTTGTATTGCATTTTTCGTGTTGCAGGATAACTATTTAACTATATAAAGATGTGTTGCTTTTTGTTTATGCTGCATTTGTTCATGCAAAGCTGTGTTGCTGTTTCAACTTGCCTTCCTAAGGCACCAATAGCTAGGCGAAGGAGGGATAGGCGTGGCTGGTGGGCAGAGAGGAAGGGGCAGCCATCCAGCCAATTGGGGGACAGTCAGCCTGGAACTAATCAGCCAGACATGGAGGAAGCAGGAACGCAGGAGGGACAGTATGCAGTTGAGGTAAATGAGACTCAGGGCAGCACACAGATGAACAGAAATGGGTCTAAGCTAAGTCTAAGCATTCATCATCATTAATAATGTCTCCATGTCGTGATTTTGGGGACTGGTGGTCCAAGAAAGACTGCTAGGTGAAAGGTTGGGTGTTGGGCATTCATATTTAAGCTTCAAGCACAAGAGTGCTTGTGTGTGTGCACACATGTATATACACAGATTTTTATAATACATTACTTATATCCAAATTCACTTTGTGCTGCACATGCTTTATCGTCTAATTGTTGGGATAATCTTTGTAAACTGTGTGGAGATGTGTGTTTGTTTTACCTTTACCTGCCTAAGGCACCTTCTGATTGGGTTAATAAAGAGCTATCCGGCGAATCAGCTAGGCAGGAGAGGGGAGGTGGGTCTTCTAGGCAGAGATAGGAACTCTGAGAAAGAATCTGAAATTGGGGGGGGGGGCGGGGATTCTCCAACTAGATTCTGAGGAAATCCAGAAAGGTAATGAGCCACGTGGTAGAATATAGATTAATATAAATGGATTAATTTAGGTTTAAAGAGTTAGTTGGGAACAAGCCTAAGCTAAGGCCAAGCTTTCATAATTAATAAAAATCTCCGTGTCTTTATTTGGGAGCTAGCAGTCCAAAGAAAGTCTGACTATATCTAATAACAGTGTGTGATTTCCATTCACACATTAAATATTTACTTAGCAGGCACACTAATGTATCATTTTAAACAGCCTCATTTTATTACTTGCCATTCCTCTTCCTGGAAACTTAGTAAACCATCCAACAAATACTGTATTTATTGTAGTCCTTCAACCTCCCTTCATTCAGTTTTTGCTACTTCCCCCAGAGGGATGCCCCCATTCCCTTTAGTAGAGCTGTGAATGTACTGAAGTCAAGGTACCTTATTTCATCCTCTCAGTCTGGAAGTCACAACTCTGGTAACACAGCTAGCGGGCAGAGATGAAGGCGTGCTCACCTGTCTCTCCTGCACTCAGCACAGCAGGTCTAAAGCCACACGGGAGGACTGAAATGAATATTCTGTTGCACAGTGTGGTTTAATACCATGAAGTCTCTCTACAAAAGGGCTGTGTATTATCATCATAATGCTATAAAAGACAAAAGATGCTCTAACGAAGTTTAAAGACACGTCCAAGGTTTCACAGGCAAGACTGTGGTCACAGGAATGTCAAGAACGAAGTCAACACTGATTCTAAAAGATTAAGATTCTCTACAGTCTTTCCTTGAGGTTTTCATTCAGCTCTGGCTACGTTTTTTTTTTTTTCTTTCTTCTTCTTTTTCTTCTTTAGAACAATGACTCCTTACATACTGGTCTTTCTCCTCGCGATTCTCAGGAGGTTTAACACATATTTCAGGATTGTTAGTTGGTCAACACTCCATATTCTCCTATTAGAAACTTTCGACCCCTCCTTGGAAATGAAACTCAAGCCCGGCATGGTGACACAAGCCTTTAATTCCAACACTCAGGAGGCTGAGGTGGTGGATCTCTGAGTTCGAGGCCAGTCTCGTCTACATAGAGAATTTCGGGACAGCCAGGGCTACAGAGAAACTCCGTGTCTCTAACGGCCCCCGCCCCAACAAAACAAAAGCCCTAAAACTTTCTGGTCTCACTACTGGCAGGTTAGAACCCACGGGGGAGTCCAGAGAAACACGGTCGCATCAGTGAAAAGGACAGGAATTCGAAATGAAAAGCACGGAGAATTTAGTACAAGCGAGGAAAGTCCTGGTGTTACCAAATCTAGGGACTTGTGGAATTTGTTTGCTCACCGGTAAGGCAACAGTGAGTGACTCAGTTGCCAACAGCAACGATGGTTGCTAATAAGTCTTTACTTTGCTTGGATCTACCCATCTCAAGAGTTAGTATTTTCAATGAGAACTACAATGAATACATTTAATAAAAGTTGGGACTTTCTTACTCATAAGTTGAACCAGGAAGTTACCGCTGTGTGTTCTTGAAACATTCAACCCCTCAAAGTTTCTCTTGCCCTTTACCAAAATGGTCGCTCAGGCTGTCTGGAGGGTTGAAGCATCCGTCCCTTAACAAAGATGGCGCCGGAGGCACGTTAAGAACGAGTTTGCCCACTTCTCTGCCAGTGACAAACATGGCTCCCGCAGCGTCCCTCACATGACACGTCCGGACTACGGCACGGGAGACGGCGGAGGAGGGCCCTTGTAAAGGGTGCGCGTTCCCGTGGCGGTGCACCCGGTAGGTTTCAGTCAGAGTCACTATGGCGGCCTGCGCTGGCAAGGTAAGCCGAGGCGGCGGCGGAGGTGGAGGTGTCGGTGTCGGCCACGGAGGCAGGACCGGCGTGCGGTCCTGGCTTCCGATCGCCCAGCCTGGCTGAGACGAGGTCGCCCGAGGTCGTAGCCGGCGGCTGGGGCTGGCGGGGGCTGGCGAAGGGGTTGCGGGCTGCGGCGAGCGGGCACCGGGTCCTGACTGCCGTTTGTTTTGGTGTTTCCCCCCACTAGGTCGGAAAGTTTCCTGCTATGTCCGCCACCGCCTGAGCTGGCCGCGCTGGCCGCGAGTGGAGAGAAGGCTCCGGCGGACCCAGCCCCGGCCTCCAGGCCTCTCCCTGCACCTCCGGGCCAGCCTCCCTCCCCCACCCCGCCGTCCTCCGGGAGCTGCCAGTCCCTGAGATGCGACCCTCGCGTGGACGATCCTGACGGGAGGTGGCCCATGTGCTGAGCGGCAGAGCCCCGAGCTCCGGAACCAACTTCGCGCCGGCCCGGGTGCCCAAGCCCTCCCTGGGGTAGCGCCTCGCTCTGTCCGCACCGGCCTGCAGAGCCAGGTCCCCGCCCTGGTCGCGGGGACACCCGCCAGGTGCCCGGGACTCGCGACTCAGCAGCCGCCCGGGCCGCCTCCAGCCTGGGATCGCGGGCTCGGCTCACGCTGGCCCGGGGACCCCTGCCACTCCCGGGCGGCCTCGGCGCAGCAGGGGCCATGCGCTCCGGTCCGCTGGTCCTCTAGCCCTCCTCGTCGACCCCCTCGCCTCTTCTCATCCCCGAGGACCGGCGGTGGCCGCCCGGAGATCCTCGGCTCCTCTCCCTGGCTGCACCCAGCCAGACCCTCTTCATGCTGCAGTGCTGCACCGTTTCCGCTACAGAAGGGGAGAAGCAGCCGGGATCGCAAAGAACACCCAAGAATTGGTGTGTGACTCGTCTGCCTGGATACCTCCCGTCCCCAAACTGTCTTCCAGGAGTTTTCTTGGCCGAAGCTGCCCAATGTTTGAGCCTTTTCTTCCTAGGGAAGATGGACTGAAAACGGCTGGCAGGGGACTTTTTTTGGTCAAGGAGCCTCAGTGTTTTAAAGGAGGTGATGGGGTTTGCGCTGGCTTGTCTTCCTGCCCATTTGAAGAGTTGTTGATGTTCACTGGTTATGCTTAGACAATGCGCAGTTTGTTTTAATTTAAAAATTTTGGGGGGATAGGGGTATAGGCTTGTGAAGAGCGTTCCGAACCTGGAGGAGCTCCTCATTGTCCCTGGTAGAGACACCCCCCCAGCCTGTCCTCGATGCCGTCAGCCTTGGCCATCTTCACTTGCCGCCCGAACTCGCACCCGTTTCAGGAGCGTCATGTCTACCTGGACGAGCCCATCAAGATTGGCCGCTCGGTGGCACGCTGTCGACCAGCGCAAAATAACGCCACCTTTGATTGCAAAGTGCTGTCCAGGAACCATGCTCTCGTCTGGTTTGATCACAAGACGAGCAAGGTAATGTCACGTCCATGTTTTACAGCCTTTTCTTTCCCCTTGCCCCCTTTGAGAGGTGTAAGGTATGCAGGATCTCAGGGTTTGTTCCCAGAGGCCGTGGAATCAGCTTTTTGTGTGTCTGAATTATCGTGGGAATTTAAATCGAAGTGGTTGAATAAAAGACAGAGAAGGTATTGTTATTAAATGTCTCTGTAGGGCGATGGCTTCTTGATAACTTGGTCATTCCCACTGAAATCCCAAACCCTAATTCGTCTAGGAATAGCAGATAGTGAAACTCGACCTCTCGCTTTCGGTCCTTTTAGAAAGGTGAACCTGCAGTTCAGTGCTTGATTAAGCAAATAGCAGTTCCCAAAGCGATGCCGGAATCTGCGGCCACGATTACACGGGGCTCAAGTGTCTCCGTGGTGAAATGTAGTTAATACGTAGCTGGTAGTTGAATCCCATTCAGGGCCCGCCTGGTAGGATAATTGCTGTGTAAAGTTAATGTTTTTGTAAGGTTTGATATGTTTTTGTGAGGTTTGATACTTATTTGCACCTGCTGAAATAATTGGTAAAAATTAAAGGCAATATAACTAGGTTGGATTAATTGCTACATTTTCAGAGTTGTGTTTACAAGTTGGATGAACAGAAACTATTGCTTTTGACAGTTACTTTTTAATTTCTTTGGTAGATAATGTGTAGTTACACGATGATATACAAAAATTAGTATTAATAAACTAGCTTATTTTTCTTAAATTATATCCAATAGTATCAATTATATACTACTTATAATAAGAATTCCTGGGCTTCTTTCCTCCTCCATCTCTTCTTTTGTTCTTTTCTTCCTTCCTTTTTTTTGTTTTGTTTTGTTTTGACAGTGACCAGCTGGCCTGGAACTTGTTCTGTAGACCAGGCTGGCCTCAAGCTTAGAAGATTTGCCTGCCTCTGCCTCCCAAGGGCTGGGATTAAAAGTCACTCACTATGCCTGGCCTTGCTTTTAATTTTTAATCCAGTTTATCTTGGCACTGTACCTTGCTAGTTGCATATATTTAAAAAAAATAAGACCCTTTTAGTTTTTTTAAAAAAAAATGTATGTATGGAGAATATTTTAAAGAGTTCATTTTGGGGCCTAAACCCGAGGTTTTGGTTGAACTACTGAATTAATTCCAACTTAAAGTAAGTTACATAAGACTGACAGAGCTGTCTCCAGTTTTTGTCTTCTGACTTTTTGCCCCCTCTTTCTGAGTGACATGATTAAGTCTTGCTCTTTTTTTAAGAGGAGAATTTATCTTCAAGAGTGGTGTTTTGAAATGAAAGAAACTTGAGCCTCCAGAGAAGAAAGTAATACTGTGTAGCCACTGAATTAAGGAATTACAAAATAAACTTTTTTTTTTTTTTTTGGAAGAAGGAAAAGATCCCCAAGTGCTGTGTACTTGCATAATGCTTACAACCTTTTCTGTGTGTGGGATGAGAACTGAGAAGTTACTAACTTTTTCTGAGTTACACGAGATGCCCTTTAACCCATAAAACCAACTCTTTTTTTTTTTTATAACCCCTGAAAGCTAAGATTTGGGTGCATTCTTTCATAGATGGCCTGTGATTCTTTGTAAATGAGTACAGAGTTCTTTTTGAATTCCAACATTAGTTGACAACTAGTGTCTTAATATAACCGACTTACATTTTTCCTGTTTATGTCCTTGGGAAACAGGTCTGGCCTAACCTGCAGCAGATCTGCGTACAGTGCCTGCTTTGCAACTGCAGTTCTTGTTTGACAAACAGTGTCTGGCCCAGTGGCACAAGCATGTCATCCTCCTGGACAGCTTAGTGCGTTTAAGGACGCTAGCTGGGGTATATAGTGAAACCCTGTCTCAGAAAATCAAGGTGGAGAGAGGGGTGGGGAGAATTCTTTGAAGGGTAGCCTTGGTTTATTTTTCCCATCTTCATTCCCCCCCCTCCTTTTTGTGTTATTGGCTAAAACGACACCTAGGACTTGAGGGTATATTTTGTGTAATTATTGATCTTTATAACCACCTAATTTAGTTTAAACAAGCTGTTAGGTCTTTCCTTGTGAACAAATTATTTTAGTAATTAATTTTAAAGTATTGCCTTAGACAGACAGGTTTTTATTGAGCATATATTCTTTGCCGGAAACTGGGAGATAGAAAGAAAGCCAAACCAGTTTGACCACTATTTATTGTGTAGGACTTCTGTGGTTTTAAGAAATCTCCTATATAGACTCATGGCAACGCCCCCCCCATGCCTAATATATGTTCCTTGAAAATTATGGTATGTAAAAATACAAGAATCCAGTCCTAGATAGCATTTCAGGAAAGTTTGTTTTTAAGCACCTCCAAGTCTTAGTTTTCTTATCTGTGGATAGTATCGCCTACTTAAAGTTTTATTTTTGTCATAGGAAAGAAATGTTTGCCCTTGTGTGCATGAAACACCTGTTGTACCACTGAGCCCTGCCCACTGCTCCTTTACTGTTTTAGGGATTGAGGTCAATATGCAAATCACTTAGTACACCATGCTTTGCTTTGATTAAAGCCTCAGTATTTAGTAGGGAGGGTGTTTGAAGGCAAGAGTGACCCCCAAACAGTGCTTTGTGAACCACTGCTGTGCTGTGGAGTCTAGCAAGGTAACAAGAAGTTTCTTTTCATTTTTAGGCAGGGTCTTTTGTATGCTGAACTCACTCCACACTCAATACATACCCGAAGTGCTGGTAATTCAGGCTTTTGCCACTACATCCAGTTTATAGATGTTAAGGATTGAACCTAGGACATTGTACAAGCTAAGAAATACTCTACCAATTGAGCTGCATCCCAAGTCTAGAAATTGTCTAATACAATTGCAGATATAGAAATAATTTTAAAAGCAGAAGGTAGTGAAGTTGATAACTTTGTCCCAATAGGCCTTTTGCCATGGAGGTAGGAAACTGGAGTAATATGCCCTTTGATTGACTTTATTGGCGACCTGTTCTGCAGTTGCCATTATGGGAGGCCTAGTTAAAGCTGGAAAAAGTAATAAATGCTTGAAGCATGTGCTCTGTAATGTTGAGACATGATCTATGCATAGACATCACTCTATGCAAGACTACTCAAGGCAGTGCTCTTCCTTCAGCCTCCTTAGTGTTAGGCTTACAAGTGTGAGCTACCATGCCTGGTTATTTGAAAGCTTTGGTCATTCAGCTCATAGATGTACAGTTTAGAAAAACTGGCCAAGTGCAGGCAAATGGGAATCTCAAGGTTTGCTTTTGAAGTAAACTTGGAGTTTATCAGGCAAAAGAAAGATATAGCCATGGGTGGGCTTGAGTGTGGGTATTACTAAGGATACATAAGTAATGCTTTTTAATGTTAAATTCATGAAGAATGAGTTACAGTTTTCCCGACGTGTGGTGTTTACTAGACTTAATTCATCTTAGGGATGTTAACAGCTGTTTTGCCTGCATTTTTTGTATCTTTTATTCCTTTGTGGACTCTATAAACTCTTCAAATTTTATAGCAGATAATAGATAGTTCTTCAGTTGACTCAAAAATGTCACTGAGCAAGTAAATGTATTCACATGGTAGTTATACAGAAGGGATTATGAGTGGACATATTTGGATGGTCTTATTTGTTAGTTCTGGGCTTGCCTGGGCTACATAGCAAGACTTGTATATTTAAAAAAAAAAAAAAAAGGCCACAGAGTGTTTTAGATAGAGATCACCTAACAGTCAAAATCACTATTTAAGAAAAGTGATACAGTATTGTGTACAGAAAGGACCTGGAGCAAAGAAATTATAGCTTAACTTATGTGTCATGTCTCGTTCTTCTAAATGCTTTGCATCCGTGATTCTCGACCTATGGGTCGTGACCTCTTGGGGATCACATATCAGATATCCCGTATATCAGATGTTTACATTACAATTCATAATAGTAGCAAAATTACAGTCATGAAGTAGCAATGAAATAATTTTATGGTTGGGATCATCATATCATGAGGAACTGGATTAGAGTCATAGCATTAGAAAGGTTGAGAACCAACCTCTGCTCTACACGTTAAACTAACTTCATCTTCAACTTTGTGCTAGGTATTTATTTTTCTTTCATGAATATGTTGAAAATGAGGCATTGGGAGAATAGGTTAGGTTAACACCCCTGAGTTCATATTGCAAATAAATGGTAGAGCCATGATTTGAGCACAGGTATTTTGATTCTTGTCTTGCTGTCTACAGAAGCCACCCCATAAACTGCCATCCCAAGACTGTGACATCTTAATCATGATGTGATTTTGTTAAGTACAAGCTCCAGGTTGGTAGTAAAAATGAAAATGATTAAACGGCCATGAGCAAACAGACAGACAGAGTGGTGTATTAGGTTAACTTGTCTAATAGAATTTTTTTGTTAACAACTGAAGATTTAGGGACAGTTTCATAGATAACAGTTCACAGATGAAATGCAAATTCAACTAGACTGAAGGACTTTAAAAAAAAAAGGCAATGTGTAGATAAGAGTGAATCAAGGAAACGAGGTGGGAGGAATTGCTTAAGAAAAGGCATAGAAGCATGAATGAGATTATGTGTTCCAGGGACAGCACAAGGAAGTTACTGCAAAGGAAGACAGCCAGTTGCTTCTTTCCTTGACATATCTAAACATGACTGCCAAGATCCTGGATTGAACCTTTGAGAGAGTGTCAGATTATGTATTCATTGCTTTTTTTTTTTTTTATTTTGTTTAGATGTTTGTTTTAATGGAATTCTGTGATATTTTTATTAATAGAAGTAGGAAGTTTTCTGACAAGTGCTAGTTCATGTGACAAAGTTGTTTATCTGACAAGTTATATTTAAGGTACATGAATTTGTATTTCCTTTCAAGATGCTTTTTTTGATAGTGAAAAGTCAGTGAAATATTTAAGCTAATTTATCTAGTTTTTAAAATACATCGTAAGGTCTGGCAAGATGATGGCTCAGTGATTAAGAGCACTGGTTGCTCTTTTAGAGGGCCAAGGTGTAAACATATGGTGGTTTACACAACTATCTTTA